ATATACTTTAACTTTTTAATAGTATTAATACTATATATAATAGTATATATTATTTTCTTAAATTATAATTTTATTTATTTTTAAAACTAAAGAACTTTCTTTTTTATTTTTTTTTAGTTTATATTTAAGTTTAATATACTAAGTAATAATATTCTATAGTTAAATAAATATTACTCTCTAAATATTATATTATAAAAAGTTTAAGTAAATACACTTTATATAATAAGAAGAGTTTAAAAGAGAAACCTAATATATTATATTACTATAACCTTTATAAGTAGTATAAAAGAGTATTATTTAAAGAAGAGGATTTATAAAAATAACTATAAAAAGATTATTATAATAAAGGATTAATATTTAAAAGAGTTTAGTCTTCTACTTAAAAATATAATTATTAAATATAATAGTATATAATAATATAGAAGGAAAGAACCTACTTATTACTATTTAAGTAGCCTATATTAATAGTCTTAAGGATAAGACTACTAAAGAGGAGTATTATATTATAAATATATAGAATATATATATAAGACTAAGTAAATTAGACTAAATTAAATATATTAGTCTTTTAAATAGAATATAAAGTTATATAATCTATAAATTAATTAATAGATTACTTATTAATTATTATAATTAGAATAATTAATAAATAAATAAATAATCTAACTTTCTAGAGTTATAATAGAGAGATAGATAAATACTTAAAGAGGAGGTATTCTTATAGTTAAGTAGTCTAAATCTTTACTAATAAATCTAAGTAATATCTCTACTATTAGGAGATATCTCTTAATATAACTTATACTATAATAACTATTTATATATACTCTATATATTTAACCTAACTCTTTATATAAGAAGTAGACTAACTATAGATTAGGATTAAGCTACTATTATACTTAACTTTACTTTACTCTAAGTATCTCTACTATATAGTTAATTATTATATATTATTCTTTAGAGGGGATTTCTTTATATCTTTTCTAGATATATATATAAAGTTTATTAATAAAGACTATAAATATATATAGTTAATACACTAGGACTTTATAGTCTAGTAAGAAAGTAAATAGTTTAATATTTAGATTAGTTTCTATTTTATATAAAATAAACTCTATATTACTCTTTATATATATATAGTTTATAGTTTAAAGTTTATAGTATAAAATAGACTTTTAATAAGTAAAGAATAAAAATAAAGAAGTATATAAGACGAATTTTACTATAGTTTACTATAGCGCTTATTACTAAAACGATAATAGGATAATAGTAGCTATATAAGTCGCCTCTAACTAACCTTAAAATGTTTTATTAATGGATTCTAGCTTAGCGCTTATTAGGCAGTGTCTAAACCCCTATATTAAACTATTCACGATGGTTGGCTGGTTTTGATGAGAATATAGGGATGAGCGTAACTCTATATGGGCTTGGAAATTGTAACTGAAGGCCGATGCAGATAGATGGACAGGTGTAGACGAGAGTGGTGGAGAGGGTATTAGTAGGGAAGCTGTTGGTCGCTTCCTGTGGTACCTCGCCGAAACGAATTTCCTGCCGTGGCCAACTAGCCGTGGTAGGGAGCTGCCTCCTGTCAAGGCTGGCGTTGTTGAGGCGCAGGTGAAATGGGGCGTTGGAGGGCGGGGTGGTGCAGCGTGAGCATATTGTGTTTTTTGTGTCAAGCAGTAGGTAGGAAAGCCCGCAATTCGGTCCCCAGTTTGTTACAGCCTACTAGGTAGGTAGCTTTACTGTTTGGGTCTTGTGCTCGAGCGCCGTGAGGTGGATTGCGGAGAGTCCCACCCCGGGCGGCCGCCTTGGCCGGATCTCCCGGACTGCTTTCCGGGCGGGGGCGTTGAAAATGGCTGCGAGAGGCGCTCGCTAACCCTCAACTTCTCAATTGACAGGTTGGTTGCGGATGGCTTTCCTAAACTCTGAGTATGCACATGACAGGAAGCCACTGGTATGAACTTTATATTCAATCACCGTATTCTTATGACATGATGTTATATTTATTGTACGTCAGGCTTGCGCCATGTCTGTGTTCTAGATGATATTAAGTGAAATGGAGGGGCACGCACGCACTGCTATAAAGTCGAGAAACCTCTGCTTCCAGCAAAGCATCAAGAGAGAAACTCAAGCTTACACTTATAGTCGTACACTAAAGAAATCTTACACCATGGCGACAGAACCGATCCGCGTATTGGCTTTTGTCAACCATTTGATTGTATGGGTATCGTCGTTGATTGTGACGGGCATCCTCTCGTACTTTTTGAGCAAGTATAGCCTCTCCAACAACACACACGTCATCTACGAAGAAGTTATTGTAAGTCGTCCAATCCCGCGGCTCTTGACGTCAGTCTGATCTTGAATAGGCCGTCATCACTCTTGCGTTTTGGATACCTGCCATGGTTTTGCCAATCGTCGGAAAATATGGCGGGCATCTATGGCCGTTCAACCTCATCTTTTCCTACCTTTGGCTCACAGCGTTTATTTTCTCCGCGCAAGACTGGTCTCGTGGACGATGTACCTTTAGTGATTTTTTCAGCAGGTGTGGTTTGAAACGGACCGTCATTGCTTTCAACTTTTTCGCATTGTGAGTTTTCCAAAGCGGCGAGCGCCCTCAAACACGATGAAAGAGTACATTTTATTAACCTTGTGTGTAGCTTTTTCCTGTTTTGCAACGTTGTCGTGGAGAACCGCCTCTACTATCGACACCGAAACGAGGGAGTGACCGCTCCGATGACGGGTCACAGAAAGCGACCGGAGACAGCAGAGACGGCCGAGACAGCCGAGACAACACAGTCTGCCACGGCCGCTGTTTAATTGTTGGTTCGGTGCTGGAATCAAACTGCGGTCGCCCGGCCTCGTACACGGTTTCTGTGGCGGTGTAGGTGTTGAGCTTTATCGGTGAACCTCACAGTGGCCTTGCTGAGGAGCAAGCCCAGCAGACGGGCGGCTAGGAACAGAACTGTGGCAGCTTCCTGGAAGCCCAGGCCCAACAACATAAGTACGGGGGGGTATTTGAGTATTGATGTGGATTATCGCTCTAATGTTTAATAAATTGTGTAATGAAAAGAGGGCTATAATCGAGTCAAGATGTTGCTCCTTGCCACAGATGACTGGAAAATGTAACAGCGTCATGGTAGATTCGCAAGCAAAGCCCGACCTGATGGCCACGCCCATCAGGTAACACAGCCCCTGCCCTACCTTATATTGACTTTTCTTGCAAGTTTCCTAACCGCATCTGTTCGAACAATAACACCGTTGGTGAGAGCTATATTTATTAGGTAAAGAAGTTCTAGGTTATTCATCCATTTCTATTCGAGATATATCCAGGTAAATTATCAACATGTCCCCGCTGTCTTGGGCTTGTACAAGTGCGAGGTGCCCATCAGACGTAACGAAACTGCTCATAGTACCTGGCCGCTGGAGATGCTCTTGAGCCAGTTGCCATCTTTATCACCAAGTTTAATAAGAAGTAAGGCGAGCCGAGCGAGAACAGGCTCAAGATCAAGACCAAGCGCCAAGGGGTCTAGCTTGTTTGTAAGGACAGAATTGCTAGAGCAGCCGCCTGGGACGCGCCCGTTGAAGGCATCGTTAGCAAACTTGAGCGCATCGACAATCGCAACGGCCTCAGTAGTAATGTGGCCGCCGGCGCCGTACGTGGTAAACCGTACGTCAGCGCCATTGTCGCACCAGGTCTTACCCAGGGCGACAGAGGGGGCGTAGGGAATAACTTCGTCATCGGGCGCGTGATACAGCATAACAGGGGCCGTGGGTGTTTCCTCCTTTTTAAACCCCATGGTGGTATTTATCAGTATAGAGATAATCTCGGGCTGATTTAGCAAGTCTTTACCAAAGCTCTGGATTGAGGTGTCGAGTATTGATTTCCCCGCAAAGGTTGCCAGGTTGTAGATGACACACTGGGTGCCGCCGGAAGCTATAATCTGCTTGCCGTGTGGGGTGGCGACTCTGTCAATGAGCGGCTGGAGCTGCTTGCCGTAGGCCGAGGGCTTAGAAAGGCCACTAATAGCGCCAGGGAGGAAGCCGGCAACAAGGCCCCCATCAACATAATCAATGACCGCAGACAAGTTAGCAGGAGTGCCGCCGAGGATCCATCCCTTGACATTGAGCTCAGGAGCATAGGTAGGATGCAGAGACGCCGCCCAACCGCCAGCAATAGCGCCGCCCGAATAACCGGCATTAACAATCATGGGGTTCTTGTTAATATGTCCAATATTCGAGCCATAGTTGATCACCGCGCGCATACTATCAAGCACGCCCATACCAGACATACGGCCAGCCGCAAAGGCAGCCTCAGGCCCCTCATAGTCAGCCGAGATAACAGTGTAGCCAGACAGCAGGTAGCCCTGGATGAGGAGGTACTCGGCCGACGAGATGAGGTCTGTCTGGAGGGACCCTAAGCGGTAGCCGTAGCTAGGGTTGCAGATGGTCGCGGCGGAGTCGTACGCTGTGTTGTACGAGATGAACCGGTCGTTCTTCGCAAAAGCCGGCCGAAATATAGTTGTGACAGTGGCAATAGCGGAACCATCGATAGCGGTGGTGCGGTACAAGAGCTGCCGTGCGTCGATAGGCTGTGGGATGAGCCCGAAGAAAGAGGCGATAATCCTGCGGTCGCGGAGCACAGTGCCCGGCTTCGAGGACTCAAAGCCCACAGGCGGCACGTAGAAGGGATCGTTGGCGGGCGTGATGGCCCGTTTGGGGGGAGACACGGCGGCAGCAGAGGCCAGCGGGAGGACCGCGACGAGTAGCGAGAGAAACTTCATGACGCTGAGGAAGTGGTAACAGCAGCAGGGAGCTTGACAAAGGGGGAGATGACAGGATCAACAAAGACCAGAGCAGCTATGATGATGTTTATCCCCACGGGGAAACAAACAGCAAAACATTTTCACTTAAGCTAGAATCTGTCAGTTTATATACTTTTTTTTTGAAGCCCGTGTGTAAGTCACCATGAATTATTTATCCAATCTCACTTACACATGCGGCTCTTCCAGGGGCTGGAGGACGTTGGCGAGTCGCTTGGTTCTTACGACATGAGCCGAGCCAGCTAATAACCGAGGGTATGAGTCCTCTTGCCAGCTTCCTTATTGGATTGCGCAAAAGAATCTCCGTTGGATGATTGTCGTTCCCAGATGCAACGTCCGTGCCACCCCTTATAAACACTGTACGGAGGACAGGCCCATGTATCGGCCATGACACCAGTTCATGCCGAAGACTTAGAATCTGGGGGAATGGGTACGAGTAGGAAAGCCTCGGCATGTACATTCGACGGTAGCTTTGTTCCAGCCCACCGCCATGTGGTACATAGACTACCAAGTTGAGGACCCCTGTGTCCTAATCAGCCAACAGGTGCCAAGTGCCGGAGCAAGCTCCAGAATAGGCAACTGTGTCCACCTTGCATACTCATCTTCTGGAGATTCTGTTAGCATGTCACTCGCTCCGAGCATCCGTTTACAAGAGCCTCTGTTGTTCCGGTCACAATGCTTCCTATTACCAGCATGCGCCTATAGATGCGGGCTTTTGTATTTAGATGAACAGAGGACGCGCCATCTGAAATTTCAAACAGCTCTTGTTTCTAGTTTAAATCATCTAATGATTTGGGCCACAGCGTGTATGGACCTGTAGTGAAGGCTGAAATAGTTGATCCTCGGATCAGCTTTAGTGGCCCGGAAAATAGAACCAGTGATCCTCGGATCAGCCTTAAAACGGCCAAGAAAACAGCCTCCGGTCCCGCGACACTAAGAGCCATCCATCGCACATCACCCTAAACAAAAGCGGCTGGATCCAATGCTGCACTAGTAACCCAGTCTGACGGCAACCGACAAGTCCACGATGATGGATTGACAATAAGAGAACCGAGCAGATGGCAGAAAAAGGTCCCATCGCTTGCTGCAGCTCTTGTGGCGGCTCGCGGAAGCCACGAGCGACGGTTCTGCAGGCATGGGAATTACTGGCGAGGACGGTCCATGCACTGCGCCGAACACATGCTCTGAAGAAACTGCTTCTAGGGGTCGGAACTGAACAATCGTTGGTGCCAAAGGAGCAGGCGAGTGCCCGGGTCGGGTGTGGGCTTCCGGGAAGGGTCATCGCTGGATCGCCGCCACGACGGGACTGGGGACAGGCATTAACATCGAGGGGATCGTATCCGTCATCCACGCCAGACTGCCGTACGGGATTGTCGACTTTATCCACCAGACGGGGCGAGGGGCTCAACGCAACAGCGAAACCGTACGGTCGACCATTGTCTATGACGGGCGATGGCAGGCGGAGAGACTTGGGGCAACAGACGTGGAGGTGATGAACCAGCAGGAGATGCACAATTTTATAAACAGCTCCGGTCATCTATATAGGGTTATGCTAATCGATTCAGCAACTCGCCACTGAGTAAGCGGCTTGTGAACCGCTTACTAATAAGGCTTTTCCTGTGTGGCCTGGCGCTCTCGTACGAGCTAGGTACTGCAAGACTCTTGGGGTAATGTTATGGACCGTAAGGTTTATAGCGGATTCTAGGGATATTCGACCTTGTTGGCTGCTATTGCTTGATCTTTTTAAGGTCTCTGTGGTCTAACGGTCTAGCCTAGAGCCGTCGTTACAGGTAACCAGCGCGGCGGAGTGCAAAGCAAAGTTCCTGACGCCGCGCTCAGGCAATCTCTCCCCAAGCAGCGTCACGGCCAATGTAGGGAACACATACGCAAAGAGAACGAGCCTCTGCCGAGCGGAGTCCAAAAAAATTACGGATCTCATGAAGACGGACTTTCACAAGATCCGTCGCAAGGCGTCGGGCCAGTCGAAGCGTTCTCATGGCGCAACCTTTGCCCTGCAGAGTGAAAAAGGCGGCTGGGTCTACAAGATCCACCCGACGCCCAACATGATTGACCTGAACGAATCGAGCTTCGAGATCCGCTTCAAGAGGGAGGAAGAGTTCTCGGCCCTCGGTGGCATCCGCTACGATTAGATTGAAGCGTGGGCTGAGGTGACCTACAAGAGCCTGATTGCTGCTGGCATGAACAAGTGGGATGTCGAGAGCCTGGTGGACATGTACGAGCCCGAGGGCCTGATGCCTGCCCTTCACTTCCCGGCGAACCCGGACTACAGCGGCAAGAAATACGACGGCCTGTCCGCGAGCCCCGGACAGCCCCAGCTAGCAGGCGACGAAGCCAACCTGGCAAAGTACAACGAGAAGACGCTGGAGGGGTATGCCATTGAGTTCATGGAGAAGAATGGCGGCCCGGTCGGCTTCGACGGCATCTTCCCTCTTACAACTCTCAAAACCGATGCGCCGGCCGAGCCTACCACTGCTAGAGAGACGGAGGATAAGCTCTGCTCCAACTCGGATGAAGAGTTTCACCTGACCACGGCTGAGTGCCGCACACAGGTTGCGGAGTGTGTCTTCCAAGAAGGCAAGAAGCCAGGCTTTAACTGGAGCTTTATCACGGCTTGTATGGATACTAAGTGGCGTATTATCTAAGTGGTAGTATTATCTAAGTGATATATTATCTAAGTGGTA